TTTGCTTGCTAGATCGTTACAAGTATTTATTTAAGTATGGTAGACTTTGTCAGTGAAAAGGAGATCTGAACCTTATTCAGTGGACACAAACAAAGACCAGACCACAACACCGGCAGTGCCGTGTCCAACTATACATTGAGGAGGTTCCAAGGTTCCATAATATCCGCAACCAATCAAAGCAGTGAAGATACAGGCTAGGGGGTTACGATTTATCGTTCATATACGACAACACATCAATGTCTAACAATTTGCAAGTAAATTGCAAAGGCAGCACATTCTACTGCGTTTTTTTATCATGGTATCCCAAATCTCTTTTCTGATGTCAATTCCTTTTGGAGTCATTGCTTTGCCGAATGCCACATCGATATCCGTCCGTCCATCCAAGGTATGTATGTGATCAGCTGATTTATGGGCAAATCTTTTCAACTTAATTCTGTTCCTATCTCAAAGGTATGTATAATATGTGTTTTTTAAAAGACGAGGAAAGTGCAAATACGACCTGAGAGGTGGTATTTCCTTTGGCTTTATTTTTTTTTCCATTTTTTAAAGTTTTTTTTTGGTTTATTGATTAACTGAATGTTTGATATGGTGAACAGTTCAACTGTTCAAAGCCAGGACTCATTTCGTTGCAATATAGGTGGACGTTTTTATGCCTCAAACAGTTATGCGGGCTGTTTTTGAAGACGAGGGGTGTTTTTCGATGTAGTTATGGACTTCTTTGGATTACTCATATAATACTCAGGTCCCCTTCAGCGAATATTTGTTTAGTGGTGACCTCCTATTTTCAAACTGGCATTTGTAGAGAAGAAAAGCTCTGTTGTAAATGAAGTTAAAGAGATAGGTTAATCGTGTTTATCTTAAGCTGTTGCCTGAATCCTGACAAATGCTATGACAAGCTTAAGCGGTCGAAAAATTGCCCATTCAGGAAAGGAGTCTATATGTTATGCCCTACTCAACAAAACGAAATCATCCCTCACGATGCAGTACATTTAAAAATGACCTTCCATCCACCAAAAAATAGTTATATTTTCACTTTGAATGCTTTGTGATTGTATGTTTACATTTAGCTGAAGTGTTTCGACTTGTTTGTGGGGGCATTTTGCGGGTTCTTTAATTTGAGTTAAGTTTGACAACGCTAACTGAATGCAAAATGTTTTTTTTTGGCTGATTACTTTACATATCACAACCAGCCCAGTTGTGAAAAACAAGTTAATAGCGACGATCATTTGACTGGTCTCTATACTTTCCATATGCTTGTTGTTCGCATTTTTGGGTTTTCCTTGCGCGACAATAGTTTTTCCTTTCGCGTAACGAAGATCTTTCCTCCATAAAATTAGTCGGTTATTCCGTTTTACTGGAAAGGATAAATTAAGTAGTTTAAATTTTCTGAAGTACGTCTGGACTTGCCCTGCCAAACTTCAGAGGTTTACCTGTCCGTAATGTTGTGACAGAAAAATTCGCAGTTTGGAAATTCAATTTGACAGTGGATATTAAAATTCGCATCAGCTGACCTCTCTGAAGATTAAAAAGGGTTTAACTTTATTTTCTTATCTTACACTAGAACCTGCCTCTTATTACTGGTTTTGGGGAAAATGTCGCTATCGCTTGTGCGAGTGTGATGCAGTGGCCACAAAATGTTTTAAAATACGTCGCTATCAAATAAGAAGGGAAGATACCCACACACCAAGTGCAAGAACGACAAACCGTTTAAGAAGTTGTCGAAGGAACTACATGCACCAAAATGATAAGTTTCCTCCATAGGCTATTTCTTTAAGCACAAGAGATAATACAAAATAAAAGTATCCATTGCAATTTGCACATAGTCTTTGTTTGATTTTATCTGTCTTTGCAATAAATAGCTCACCACAAATACATTCGCAGAACCCTTACATCTGTGTAGGCAAAGTTGCATGTCCTAACGCTGATGACATTCTTTGGCGAATTAAAACCAATAAGCTGTAAGCTGCCATTCAAATGAACTTCCAAATATGCTCTTGCTTTTTGGATATATCAATTTCGGTCGTAAAAAAGGCATTCTTAGAAGACAAACATTGCAAAGATAAGAATTTCGCCAAAAGGCCATGAATTTTATCGCTCTATAACACAATCTGGAACTTTAAAGTGCTCCCCGAGATACTCTTTGAAGTAGGCTCTCTACGTTCCCGCGTGAGAAATAAGAGAAAAAGAAAATGCTTCGTAGCCCAGAGACCGATGAAATTACGTACCTTGAGCTGTCAGATGTTGAAAAATTCATAGGTGAATTATAAAAAAATTAATGGTAATCGGGAGAAGACGAGCAGTATGCAGTTCAAACTTCAAAGGTTTCAATGGACTTAACTGCTAGCTGTAAAACGGATAGAAAATTTATTTGACCCGTAAAGCGTAAAAATTGACAAATTATCAGTAAATGTCATTCATAAGATATTATCCCTCACCTCAACCATGAATTGGCCAGAACTTTAACCATTAGTGGAATAAAAGTCGTTACCCCTCTGAGACCCTGAGCTTCGTGATCCACATCCGAAGTTTATTCGCGGCGATAAAAAAAAGTAATCATTTTTACGATATCACATGATCTAAAAAATTTAGCATTTTACATGAATTTTCTTTGATATCATTATAATATGTTCTAACCAAGAGGGAAATTGCCCTTATTCTGAGTGAACATAATATAACGTCTCTGGAGGGTTCTTGAAAACCTCTGACACCATGGATAATTGTTTACGAGAGAGTCTCTCAAAAAGGGGCAAATACAGCAGAAGAAATGGAGATAGTGACAACAAATCTGTTCTCGCCCTCGGGCTGACAAAGCCCACCGAAGTACATCAGATGTATTTAATCCACTAAGCGGTGTCTACACCAAATTTTCCCATCGAGGACATCGAGATTAAAAATGTTGTGTTTTGTGTAAACTTACATTTGGATTTCTTTAACAATATTTCGCTTGTTCGGGTTTTTTCTCTAATTCTGCCACCTTCTATGACCTGATGGGAAAGATGTTAAAAATATAGTTCTCTAAAAGACCCAAAAAGGCGGTTGGAATTCTTAAAGTATCAAACTTAACAGGACAGAAAACTCACGCAAGCACCTTCATGTGAGTAAGCTCCCCTTTAATCTGGTAGTCGTGAGAAGTCTTATTTTTCTAAATGTTGTTCCAAACGTAGGATTGAAACGTAGATGGCTGGAGGCAGTTTTCTGAGACAACTACCGACTGTATTTCTGCCTCGCAAACAAACCTTTGTAAATATCAAATCTTTAGAAAGTGATCTCACCAGTATTTTAAATCACTTTCTTTATGAAATTTCAAAGCGTTAATTGGTTATTGCTCTTGACTAAAAAGATAAAGGACACAGTTTTTTTGCAATCAGGAAGTTTACTAAGTTTTCTTGCACCTTGACAGCGCTATTTCAGGGATAAATATAAGTTATTTTGTTATATAAAGTATACAGAGCGAACATAGCATATCGCAAAAATGTCAAACATTGTTACTGCATGAAAGATAACAATTTATAAAATAAACCCTGAACCGAGAGTAATCATTATTATGGTCATCAGCATCGGTTTGATTTTCTGTGGAACTGAGTGATTAGAGAAGTGTAGATCATCTCAAAAGCAACGAGTTGAGCTTCCCAGAAGGGGACCGTAGTAAATTAATCGCACAGTAAGAGCCAAGGCATTTGAATTATGACGACATGTGAAATGAACAATTAAGTAAAAGATCGGACTTCTTACATCCCGTCTAATGAATTATTTAGATGCCATTTTGGGCAACCACCTAGCAATTTTTGAAGAGCTAAGAAGGGATACACAAGTATTAAAAATTTTTAGTGAAGATTTACTTGCTTTTTCAATTGACTTTTGGACTCTTTTATGTTATTTCTTTGTCAAAACAAGAGCCCTAAACCTCTTGTTAACTGGAATACTGTGGGTTCTTCTGCAATATAGCGGAGGTCAGACAAAAGTAAAGTCTTCAAAGTGGAAACAGTCCACTTGCTTGTACTTGAAATCGAAGTCTGGAGTTACCGAAGAATATTGTGAGGTGATAAGCTGAATTAACATTGGTGTTTTAATTTGCTCTAATGATCACCATGCCATCTTCTTAGTTTTTTAATTCAAGTACGAGTTCCTTCTAAACCTGCTGAGATTTTCGGACTACAACTTCGCATCATCTAACGGTTAAAACCGCCGGAAAAAAAAGGAAATTGTAGCTCCCTTTTTTAAATACCTTTAATCAAGAAAGGGTAAAAAACTAAATTCGAGCATACAAACAAGCGATCCTTAACCTTTACGAATTCACATATTCACTGAGGTAGAAAAAGCAGCGCGAAAGAAAAACTATTCATTTGCCATTGGACGGTCTCATGGTTAAGGTCAAAGCTATCTTCAAGGAAGCTTTCGGTAAAATCTTTATTTAAAAGAAACATAAATGGAGAGGAGTACGCCGTGATGCGGAGATAAATGAGTTAATTGAGTGGTGAAAACAAAAGTTAACGCAAAAGCGCGGTAACTCATTAATTTTTTTTGGTTTTCAGCGGGGTGTAGATAGAGCCGGACCGCAGCCCGCGGCCTACCACAAGACCTACAGCAACGAAGATCTTCCTTTCAAAAGCCACCATTCCAACCTTACATTCATTTTGTCTCAAAAGGGACTCTTTGAAGTCCATAATCTTGCAAGGCCTTCGAAGATCTTTACGTGGACATGTCAACCTTGAAATGATCTTTATGCCTCAGGCAATTGGCCCTAAGGCTGTGAAGTGGGCTTAGGGCCCCAGACCTACCACTCAACAAAACCCAAACTCACCATGCAGGCTCCAACGTATCATCTGAAATATTTGAAGAAGGATGAATCTATTGAAAAAGATAATTGATAACGAGACCAATCTTTTCATGATCCCTGTCCGGCTTCGTCTTAAGTACGCTTTCACAGCTGAAGACATGAACATAGCTCGAAACAGCAAGTACAACATCACAAGGTCATCTGCCATCTTGGCCAGATGCTACGTTTAGGATTGGAACCGATCACATCTGCAAATTTCTTCGTCACCCTTTTCACTTGTCAACCTAAAACGGAGCGTTAAAACTCTTAAAACTCTTTTCGAAAGTCTCCGTTTTCATCAACGTTTTCGGGTGTTTTAGAGTGGATGACCGGCGAAAACGCATGAAAAAGTTTTGTGTTTTCAAACGAAAACGCAGAAGTTTGGTAGGAGCCTTAAAGAAAGGTGCAAGCGCCAAAACTGTTGTCGAATTTCCTTATTCTCTGAAAAAAACAACAGTTGGCCGTCTTATAAGGTGTTTTTTTTTAAGACTCATTATGATTGTGACTCGCACTGCAGAAAGCATTCATGATTACTGTCCTCAGTTGACATTGTCAAAAAGAGCCGGCACAAGTGTCGGGCTAAACTGCTCATGTCGCTCTGCAATGACCTATATATTGACCTCCTCTAGAGCGAAAACACAATCATTCCAAAATTATCGTTTTGTAGCTCGGCGGCTGGAGTACTTTGAGCATACTTTTAAGTTTCTCATAACTGAGTTTTCTCTCTTGTTAGAAATTTCTGTTACTAAAAGAAGAATGTCATTGTCTTACAGATTCATAATGAACTCCGCGATCATTTTGCTGATTTGGACTGCTTTGGGCGTCTTCGCCATACCGACAGCCATCTCAGCAACTGGCCTTAAAGCGGGTGCGCATCTCATCTCTTTGCGTCATAGCGAACTATTTCATGCTCTCTAATAAACATCTTGTTCCCTTCTCGTGTTATGGAA